ATATAAAAAAAAATAAAGTGTTGTGGGGGGGGGGGGGGGGGGGGGGGGGGGGGGGGCGCTCGAAGGGGGTCTTGCCCAGGGTGTAATTCAATGTAGAACCGCCACTGTACCTATCCAAATGATTAGCATTTGAATTTTTGCAAACAAATAAAAAGTAATACACCAAGATGTAGTTATTGATGAGGGTGATATATGTGAACAATTATGAAAATGTTTTGTATTTCACAGTATTATATTTGCAAGGACAAAAAAAAAAAAAAATCATACAAGCATGCCCTTGAAAGAACACACATCTGTCTGACATAACAATACAGGAATAAATAACATGGGATCATTAATTATTATGATCCCATATGATTTATTCCTGTATTGTTATCAGGAATAAAAAAAAAACTTTTCATTTGATTTCCTAAAACCAGACAGCACCTTTAATAATTGTTCAATTAAAAATGAAGTTCCATTATCTTTCAAGTTGACTAATTTGAGACTGTTAGCAAAAATAGGGTTATACTATTTAAAAAAATAACCTTTTATATTTTATATTTTTTATATAATAAAAAAATAATACATGAAAAAAACAATGTAAGTCGATGTCAATGTTTTAGTATCTTAAAATACTATAATCCCTGAAACCATTATATTTAGACAGTAGTTAGTACCATGATTGAGGTTTCTTGTTTAAAACATTGCTTATAATTATACACATTATATATCACAGCACATCAAATCAGGGTTAGTTGGTTTCAGTCCATTGTGGTTTCTATTAATTTTACACAGATTTCCACAGATAAGAAGATAATAAGGCTATAATTGATAGCTCATTCTGCACATAATAATAATAATAATAATAATAATAATTATTATTATTATTATTATTACCAAAATGTGAGCTTCAAATATCTGCTTTTAAACCCTCCAGAATGTCTTGACCCATGCATGGATTACTATTGTAAGTGCATTAAATATGTTTCCAGCTGATATATTGACACTTAGAAATGAGTTGAAATTAAATTTAGTTGACAGATGCTGTCACAACAGCTTAACCTGTTTTGAAAACATTCTTGTTAACCTCCACTTTGGGTCACAAACCAGGAAATGACGTACAAAATTAATCCAATATGATAAAACAGTGGTCATATTTTTAAATGCAAGTTTGAAGAATTTCTATTGATATGCATTTATTTTTTTATGTTTTTTTTTTACAAATTGAATAAGTAGGATACAACAATTTTGCTAAAATTGCTTTAGCAAAGTTTGTACTATTTTACATTTACATTTAGCCATTTAGCAGATGCTTTTATCCAAAGCGACTTACAAGTGTCAACAAAAAAGCAATCATATGCAAGTGCTATGACAAGTCTCAGTTAGCCTAACGCAGTACATGTAGCAAGTAACTAACAAATAAAATAAATAAATAAATAACAAATAAAAAGAAAACGATAGAATAGAATAGAAAAATAATAGAGCAAGCTAGTGTTAGAGGCCTTTTAAAGACCATTTTCTGTATATTTTGTAGATTTGAAGGCAATTCCATAATATGTCTTTACATTACTGACAATAAATAAAATATTTTATTATATGATGTGATTAATATATTTTTCAATATTGTTTCATTATAAATTTGGTGATTATCTCTAAATTGCACACCCACAAGCACACCCTTTTACATAGTCTTCAGTTATTTGAAAACGGCTTTAATTACCTTCTCAAAGTAGGCAAGACAATAATTTTATCAATTATCGTTGCTACTTAAATCTTTAAAAATATATATCAAATTAGGCAGAATCAACTTTGCAATGCTGTGCGCTTTGGTGGCAAGTATCAGTAAAATTTCCATGTGCATTTTGTGTTGTGCCATCAAGAGGTTTATAGGAGAATGAAGTCAAAATATTCTTTTATACCAGTGCACATTTACCCCCACTGTACCCTATGCATTGATTAAGTCAATGCTGCAAATGACAGTAAACCAGTCGCCAGTGACCTCCTGCATGTTAACAGGTCAGGGCTCAGTTGCATGAAAATCCTTAAGTAATTTGACTTAGGAGTATCCCTGAGGGGGAAAAAATCCCTGAGGTAAGGGATTTCTTTAAGAGCGTTGCAACAAACGTCTTAACTGTCACCCTCACCTAAGTGTTTATACTAAGCGTTTCACGGTAGTTTCTGGCAACATATGGCAATGGGCGCCGATAAGGAAACCGCTTTGTTTCTGCAGTGAAAGCGCCTCATATCCTTCACATTGCAAAGACAGAAAATTTACCAAATGTGAAAATTAACCAATGTTTTGACGCTGCAAACACGCAGTTGTAAATGTGAACAGGTGGATCGACAAGAAGATAATGCATTATAAAAATCGAAACAATTAAGACAAGTTATATTTATATTGTTATTTAATTAATGTAATAATTGATTAATAATAATTGTTTAAATTAACAACTCGTCCATTTACTTAAAAATTTATATAAAACTTTGTTTTGTGAAAACCTGTAAGTCATGCTTTTTACAGTCATTTTACAGTTTAATATGTTACCATAGTCATTGTCCTACTGCGCTCATATGATATTTTATTTGTGCAGGTCTTAATAAATGTCTAAAGTCTTACATTTTGAGCTTAAAATCTTGCAGATGCTGAATTTAAGATGATTTAAGGAAGCTCTTTTGGTCCCTTAAATTTATTAAGGTGAAATGGCTACTAAGGACTTTGTAGCAACACTTAAGGGAACATTTAAATAATTAAGGGGAATACTTTATGGCAGCCTTAAGGTTCCTTAAGTTGACCCTTAGGTTTTTTTCTTGCAGCCCAAGTTTCGCTAAGGGCTTCCTTAACCTTATAACTAAGGGATTTCTTAGCATAAGTGCTTTCATGCAACCGGGCCCAGAGCTTAATGTAACACCTGTTTTTGATGATCCTCTGCACAATGACATCAGTTGTTAGACTGTTTCCACTATCCACTGTTCGCAATATTCCCATTTTCCTGGGTACCTGTGCATAGAAAACAAGCACAGATTATGAAATAGAAGTGTAGTGTGTTGAAATTTTGAATAGTTATCGTATCGTGACACATACAGCATATGGGTCTGATCCATCTCTGTCTGGAAACACTTCAGTTTTTCCATGGCACACCAGGTCTACCTATACCATGGGGACAGTGTATTACTCTATGGCTTGTTGTTGTTTACACAACAGAATATGGTTTAGCTGATTTCAGTAATCAGTTATGTTCCCACACATATTGGTTATTACCAAGAGTAACTGCATTATATAGCCAAACTCACTCCCTTAAATTTTTAGGATACTCAACTGCGGTTTTGACCTACATGACCTTTACCTCTACAATACGAATGTGTCCAAACCCTGAATACCTCATTATAACAGTATTATAAATACAGTATTATAAAAACCTTTAAAATCACTATGCAATAATGAGTGTGTGAAGTAAATTACAATAAACTCTATAAAATGAGCTGCATGACCAGCATGGTCGCAAATTAAATAGCCGCACTTCGTCTCTGAAAAACCAGAACTTGACATGCGGAAAAAAATATTGTGGCCACAAATTAAGAATCTGTCTGATCTCTAATCAGCTATTTTATATATTTTATGAGTCCTCTTATTTGAGGGTGGAGTTCACACAACTCTATGCAAAGTTTCTCTGGAAAATAAATGTAAAAATTATTTCATTTACCATAACATTTAGTTTTATTATTTTAATTAGAAGATATTGAAATTAATTTTATAATTGTAATCAAATTAAAAAATAATTTTATGGGTTACAAGGCATATTTGTTAGTACAGTTATAGAATAGTACAGTAAATACTGTTGTCAATCAGTGGAAGAGTGTTTACCTTGAAATGGTCCAATAAGTCTTTTGTGACAGCATATGGTGCTCCTATAACAACCTCAGAGACATACTGGGAGATTTGAAAACAAAATATAGAAATTCATTCATATCAAACTATTTATATAAAACAAGAAATAAATGGGCAAAAGATCAATCCTCACTCGACAGGCCAGCACACTCAGAGTCCTCTCATGGATGTTCATGATTGGATAGTTTTTCCCCTTGTAACGATTCACCTCCTAGAGGGATGATAACAATAATAAAAAAAACTAACAAACATGCAGTTCCTCCTTCTTCTCTCACATCTCTTCTGTCCTTTTAAAGACAATCAGCATCATGCTTAACCAAGAAAATTTTAATTTTAAATATATTTCTAAGATTTTCCTGTATTCAGCTTACCTGATCAAAGTGCAAGCCCACGATAACATATGGTTTCTCTGAAAGCTGGGACACTGCATCCAGGAAATCCACATGGCCAATATCTGATTTGCATCAGGTTAAAGAGGACAACATGATTATTGTCTTACTCTTGTTCTCAGAAAAAGCAAAGAATGCAGGGGGCCTTGTAGCGTCTGGACCAATCAAACACACAATATATATTTTGTTTTTATATTTAACAAATACTCTGTAACCCCCCTCAGTTAAAAAGCCATATGAGGACCCATGAACCCTTCCCCCCGGAATGCGTAACACCCCAGGAAGCCGAACCGGCCCCTTGTTGCATGGCAACCAACGCTGATATCACTGGGTTTATTGGCCAAAAGAATGTAAAGCAGGGAAAATCCCTGCATGTCCCAGCACAAAGGCAGAATAGAAATGGACTGTGCTCTAATTAATTCATAGGAAAACCTTTCTTTGAATGAACACACACATTCTTCAGGCCATTGTGTATATTATTGCTGTTTTGTATTAATCTGTTGTATTAAAGACTATTTTATTCATGCTTACGATAAACCGCTCATATATCTCTCTCTCCCTGTCTGACCTTGATTCTCACCTAATGTTTGGGATTTGGTTGCCCATGGACTGATCTATGGACTGATCTGGATTCTGACACATGCCTGCCAGTAACTTTTCTGCCTGATAGCTCAGAGCCGGGCAGTGCTCAGACATGTAGTGCGGTTGCACTTTGAGTGACCTAAGTTTGAATTCTGACTCAAGGACCTTTCCCGATCCTATTCCCCTCTCTCCACCACTTAACTTCATGCCAGTGTGTACTGTACTATTAGATACTTTTGAGAGAGAGAAGCCTTTGAGTCCCCATCACGACACGACCCATCTATATTCTAATATGACAATTCTAAATCAATCAAAATGCCTTTATTCCACGTCTCGTGTCAGCTCTCATCTGTGCAAACTAAAAACATATCAGTCACTGACTGAAAAGCCTGTTGTCTATGCAATCTATGCAACTCCCACATTCTTGGTACACAATCTTTCATCACAAAAGTAAACATGTAAATAATCATACGTAAAGTTTAATCCCACTCCCCCAATTTGTTTATTTAATTGGTCAATGTTACATTTGTGTTACACAGTGTTGTTTGTTGTTTATATTGAGTGTCATGACAGTGTAACATATACACTGTCATGAAACTAAGATCGATATAATCAACAAACAACACTGCCTGGCACCGTTTATGAGTGTGTGTGTGTGAGTACCATCAGTATGCACTCCCACAATGAGATAGTCCCCCATAGCCTTGGCTTGTCGAAGTTGGTTGGAATGACCATAATGGACCATGTCATAGCTAAGACGGGAGTAAGGTAGATAAAGACAATTGTTAAAATGAGAAAAATATCATAGCATTCAAAAGCAAATGAAAGCAAACAATCAAAGCAAGGTTTACCAACAAACAAATTAAGTCTACAATTTATACTCAAGTTGCCAAGTTATTTATTTATTTACAATTTACCTTTTTATTATTTTCTTCACATATTTCATTTCAGTAAGCTGGGATGGCTTGACCCTAACTAGGGTGGCTGTTTTTAAATTTAGTCTTGCATTTGAATAAAAACCTGTTATATACAGTACAACATTGTAAAGCTAAACACTGACTTTTTGTCCTTTGCTATAAGCAAATTCATTACTTATTAAAAAATTATGCATTAATAAAAAATACATAAATTAATAATAAAATAAAATAATAATAAAAAATACATACATACACATTAACCTGACAGATAACACATTTTTACAATCTTGAAATTTCCCACCACAAGTCATTATTATAGGCTTACCATTACAAGGGCACAGTTTTGAACAGGTTTTTATGTACTCACTAAATATCGGAATATTAGTTAATTTTTTACCCAAAATATCTCACATACTGTGAGTTTAGCATATAAAAGCAATGTGATTGAAATCACAGATTCTAAATATAGCAGAATTATAAAACTAGCTCATAAAATTACAACAGGTTCAGAACAATCGTGTTCTTTTTCTCAGTAAAACCAGAATAGAGAGCATTGTCCATTTGTAAATTCCATTACCATACTGCTTCCATACATACTTCTTTTGTGCTTGTTTTTGTTTTTGAGTATTTTCTCATTTTGATCAATGATGATTTTTGTTGCTGAAATGCATAATTTAAAAACATTAAAACACTATAAATATGACACATTCTCCCCTTTGTCACCATAATTTGATTTTAAAGTGAAATACAGTATGACCTGAACACATGTTAGACAGGTTCCTTGAGATTTATCTATGCTGAATAAATCAAACCTTTTATTTTTTTAAATAGTTACTGACACACAGCATAAAGAAACATTGTTTCATACTCGCTATTAATAGGATTTCACCTGTAATAGTAATAGATTCATAAAATGAGATAACAATTCAGAACCTTCCACTGATTGTTTTCTTCCCAATTTATATTAAAGTGCTTCCCTTTAAGAAACTTTCCATACCATCAGAGTGACATTGAATGGACTTTCAGTGTTTGACTTATTTATACTTCGTCCTTCTTTTTAAATTTACTAACAGATCTGGTTTGGCACTATTTTTAATCTTTGATGTCCCTATAGTGAAAAATGTATATACAAAAATGTATTTGAAATACATTTATTTTGTGCTAAGTATACTACAAATACATTTACATATTTATGTACTTAATAAAAATACCCTGCAACTCTACTTTTGGTACTAAACTGGTATACTTGAGGTCTTAAACAACTAATTTTGTACTTAATGCACTTTAATTGTGTGGAAGTAGTGCTGAAGTGCAACTCAAGGTATACTGAAATATATTTGATTGTGCTAAAGTGGAACTATTCCAAGTATACTTCAATATCTTGCATTTACAGACCGATATTATTCAAAGATCATATAATCCTCATCAATAGTGACATTAAAACACATAATATTAATATTAAGAAATGTGCATTGTGTACAAGTAGTACTACAAATAAAGTTTATTTATAATTTTTATATAAGTAAATCTAAAGCGATATGTCTGTAAATATGTTAAAAGATTTGAACTATACTTAGTATGAAATAAATGTATGTATAGATATATATTTTTTTAATAGGGGTGCATTGAAAGTGACGTAGAATAAGAGTGTTAAATATTAAGAAGGGTGCATCTGCTTTTATATATTGATATGATGAAGCCAACAACTACCCAATGGCTTGACTCTGCTGTATCTTAAGTAGACAGGATTACAGCAACACTGGCCATGAGCATGAAATATTAATTACTGAAACTAGTGTGCACTTTGCAGGCACCCAAACGGCAACTGAGCTGGGAGAATGATATCGCGTGCATAAGCCAAGTGTTTGAAAGCCCTAGAAATTTGATGACCCTGTGCATATATGGGGTAAATGTGGCAAAGCATGTCCTGTTATATTTCACACCAAAATCAAGAGAAATAATGTAATATAATCTAAAAATATATAATTGCCTTTACTGTAATAATAAAAAACAGTATTCCAGCATTTATACATCATGATAGTATTTGTTGTACTGCCTGGAATGTACAGTGATGTAGATTAAATTAATATATTTCTGTATTTTTTGTACTACATATCTTTATTGTTTTTACAAAGTTTTTAAAAAAAAACAAACACCATTCCCCAGAACATACCCCAGGCAGGTTAAAAAAAAAAAGCCTTACATTCAATAACTTTACACATCTAAATCTTCTTAAATATCTCAATTTTTAACAAAGTCTAAAAACACCTCCCAGATATAAAAAATATTCAGAGGGTTTCTTTCTTGTTCTTGTTCGGACAGTCTCGTGTAAATGTGTAAATATGTAAGCTTTTCAAGAGTCAAACATGTTATTAAGTTTTTCAGCCATAGTCCAATGGAAGAGCAATTGGTATTTTTTCCAGCACAGGACAATAGAACGTTTTGCTTGTAATAGGCACAAATCCACCAGCTTTCTTTCTTTAGTGGACAAAAAGCAATTGTCTTCATACATACAGTACTCAATAAACACATTACAGGACATAGAGGAATTGGAGAGGAAGTAAATTGAGAAACATATTGAGTAACCCCAACCCAAAACTTCTGCACCTCCTCACATTCCCACAATACTTCAGTATTTTACAGTATTATAGCAATGAGAGTCTAATGAGGACCATAATAGTGTATAACATAAATTTATAGTGTATAACATAAAAAGTGCAACATCTACATTATAGTAATGTGAATGGGGGCACAGTACATGATCATAAACTACAGTGTGTTTGTTTTTTGGAGAGTTTGGAGATGTTTTAATGCTTTTGCTTCACTGTGCGATTCTCAGTTAAACACATGCTAATACACATGTAAGATTTAGTGACTGATTGACTCATTGTCAGCTGATCAGACCTGCCTACCAATCATGGTATGTGGTTGCTGCAAGGGTAATTTATCCTTCTGAGGTCAATCAAACCCTGTTAAATCACTTGGTTCTCTGTATGGCTGCATTAACACAGCTGTCATGAGATACACAAAACTGCCCTTCATTTGACCTTAATCACATAACTTGCTTTTTATACTTGTCTTCATAAAGGCTTTCACTGTCTGTCACAAAGTGGAATCCACACTCTTTATGCTGACTAAGTGCTGACCATTGCTCAACATGGACTTAATGCATTCTTGTGCTGCAAACATTACGTCCTCCTGCCCTATGCCCTGGTCAGAACATGTCAGGGAGGGATTACATGACATTTTATTGTGAATGGACTTTAGCATCCTGACAATTCAGGGTTAGTGATGCACTTACACTTTCACCTAGAACCATCACAACAATATTCACCTAGATTTTCACTTGAGGTAAAATGGTTACTATAAACATTTACATTCATTTAGCCAGTAATGGTCTGGTTACTGAAATATAAATAATAAATTTTCAAAAGTAACTATGGTAAATCTCTGTAACACTGATCAATTTACAGTTTGTTTTTTAGAAGACAATGATGTAATACATTTTGTGTATTACTCTAAAACAATTAATTAAACAATAAGGGACAGATTTCCTAACAGCTTGTGCAAACACAAACCCTCTTTTGGTGTTAAATAACTACTGCCTAATT